TATATTGTTATTATATTTGGTTTGTATTAAACCTGAAATAGCTCGACCGTCGGAAATTCGCGCATAAAAAGAGTAACTATAAATAAAATTCGTCATATGGGTGTATAAATAAATTCCACATCCTCTAAAGCATTTTATGGAGAAAAGCCATATATATAGCATCTGTATTGTAGAGCGTGCCCCAAGGCTATACACTGAAGGGCTGACGGAAAGCAAATTGGTTGTTAGATTAATCTGCTCTACATGAACGCTATGAGCCAGGATAAGACGGAGCTGATAGACCAGTATTTTTTTCAGGTAGGTCATCTATTGCTAATCGTACAAATAAATGATAAAGACCTATATCAAAGTGCAGCTCATTCATATATGTGTATGTATGTATGCCATACTGGACCAAACAGTCGTATTTCGAGGGTTTAAGCGTCATGCTTTATTGGTTGCTTTGTGTTTATACGATAAGTAGACTGAACAGCGCAGTGAAAGAAATCGTAACGACTGTTTTTTTCACAACGCATCATCGACACAAATACATCAAATAAACTCAATTTTATGAAATTGGATTTCGGTTGCAAAGACAGCTGAAGATGCGGAAGAAACTAACGCTGTCGGTGCTCCAAGCGAGATCGCTTTAACGCATCGTGTGCTTCATATTTTTTTTTTTATAAGAGAATCGTATCATGCAAAATTATACTACGCTCAAATCAAAGTAAATTGCGTACGAATGATCGAAGTAATGAAGTATAAGCGCACCGGACAGTTGGCATAAGGATCAGAGTACAGAAGAACTCGGGAACTTTTTTTCATTATGACATGATCGACTTTGAATTGAAGGTTGTCAAACATACGTCGTTTAAGAAGGAAGCGATTAGATTTTTCTTTAATAATTTTCAAATGTTTTACTGTTAAATTTTCTCGAATAGCTTCAATGTGGGTAACTTTTCTTTATTGACGGCGATAGACCTTCCAGAAATGACGGCGTCAAAGGAACGGAGCTTGCCCTCGTGTTTGCAAGTGGGAGAACATTTAGTCGTATATTGCATTTCTCAGGGTGCACTCCGAGGAACGCATACTAATGGGCCGATATAAGCCGACGTTTTGCAAACTCACTCGGATAAACCGCAAGGAAAATGTCTAACGACTGGCCTATGCATTTAACCGCGACTGTACGCCGCTCTCCGGAAAAGTCATGGGTCGCCACGACACCTACATAATCCTAAGTGTGACCAGATTGGCTTTGAATAAAAACTTCGGCATTCTTACATTTACTTCACACTGCTTGAACAAGCTGCGACCTTCAGACGTGTCAGGATTGGACCTTTTTATTTAAAGTTCGGCTTCGTAAATTTCGGTAGAACTCTTGTTACGTATGCTTGAAAAATATATCATAGCCGGGTTGCAAGTGTTTATGAAGCATCGTGATGGTAAATATAGTTACATGATTTCGGGGGACAGGGGTCGTTCTGCTAGGACAAGAACGTATCTAAAGAAAATTACCTCTCTTTTAGTAGGTAGTTGGAGCTGTCGGATTATAATGCGGTATCATTCGAGGAATACAGCTCTAACCCTCGGAAATAGAAACTATGGCGGGCAGTTTCGCTACTAATTGCCACCGCACAGAATGAAGCAGGAAGCAGAACTTGTAGAATATTTGTTGTTGTTAATCGGCAAAAAAGACTAGTGGCTCTCTTTTTAGCAACATATAGGCTCGTTTCAGCTGCGCGACAGAATTCTATCTTTTTCATTATGGTATCCAAATAAATGTGCGCCTTATTTGAGGATCAATATTTGTTTTCGTTACAAAAGCAATCAAGCATTTAGGAAATGGTCAACTAGGAATTATGTGGACGATATCTAGCCGTTCCAATCGCTCCGATTGGCTTTTTCACACTATTTACCCATATGACCTAGATAGTTTTTAACAAGCATGTTAATATATTGTTTTCTTTGTGTGAGTAGTTTTTCTTAGCGGTAGCGGTAACTTTAGGCGCATATAGCGTTACTGTTCCACCTACTTCCATTACCCTATATAATGTTTATTTACAAATTTAAATTAAAAGCACTTAAGGTTTTGTTTTCTCGGAATGTGCTTTCTCCAATTACAGTTTTCACTATTTGTTTTCATTTTCTATATAAGAAATGAATAATTTAAGCCATCAAATCATTTCAACTCAAAAATGGCAATAACAAATCCCTAATCATGATTGTATACTTTAAATTGTTCTAGACCTATATAAGCAAAGCTTAACTATACAAACCTCCTTCTGCTGTAATGGCAGCCTTGTACTGTGTATAGTAGCGCCTGCCAAACCTACCTGGATAATGTCAATTGTGTTTCTGCATCGGCGTTTAAATCGATAACAATACGCTCATCTTTCTGGTTGACTTCAGTCTTCGAGTGCGAAGCGATGCACGCGAAGTTCATTAAAGCTAGGAGTTATTTTGCCATAGCACACCCGTGAGAAACCTGCCATGGGAAGGGTAGAAAGTTCGTGACAGGGGCGATGCAATATAGGGCTCCTTTAGTACTAAACGAATGTGGTGTGCAACAACTCTTAACATCTCAGGATCTGTATCCGGTTATTCATGTCGTACCTATTGCTACAGGGTAATTTCAGTTTTTTTTTTGCATTGTCGATTCGACTGTTACTTTTTATAAATGAGAGTTATTGTTCTTTTTACTAATCTCATACTGCTGAGTAGCTATGGGAATGTTCTATTCAATCCATCTTGCTTGACACCTTCAGCTGTTGTTGCTCGAAGCCAGCATAAATTAGCTTCGCTTTAAAAACCTTACGGGTGTTCAGACAAGAGAACGCAGTCACCGAGGGCATTTATTCGTCAATTATCTCTGCGTTGCGTCTAAACAGCATCGATCGGATATGAACGCTCGAAGAGAAGCGTCGTGCAGACAGCCTCCTATACAACATTCGATGACACACCGGTAGGATCTGACAGATCAATAAAACTTAACCTGCCATAGGCTAAGCTGCTTGGACATACGGTATTCTGCTGGCCATTTAGTATCAGACATCCGAATCCTTTTTCAACTCGTCAATATCATTCATTTAAATAAAAGAAATTGTTTTTTGTTAGACTTATCATAAGTAGACAGAGAAAAAGAAGGCTAGCATTTATTATCGGTCGGAGCGTATGAGTCGATTTTGAGGTATCGTTTTCTTATACCCATGAACAAACAAAATACTGATTGATCTGAGTACTCTGGTAACAACGGGCATAATATGCCTAGCTTTATGATCGACTTTCGCCATTCTTGTTACATAAACGATTACTCAGGGTTCAAATTCAATTGAGGAGTTACCGATCATTGAATTAGGCGATCTTAAACTTGACGACTAGAACTTTCTCCACTTGGCTGGAAGCATGGCTGCACATAGCAGTAGGCAACTGTCTAAATGATGTCCTCATTGAAATAATATTATATGGAGATAATTCCAACGGGAGTATCAGTTCTATTAAGGAATATATTTAGTTGATGATTTTTTGCATTGTAATCGCGATTTAGTACTATATTTGGATGGCGTGCCTAATTCAAACAATGTCTGAATCGTGATAGTTTTAGCTTGCTTAGTTAACTTTGAACATTTTTTTCTTGGTTTTCAGAAACGACTGTGAAAACAAGTAAGTGGTGAATTTGTATACATAGTCCTTTCTTCTGTTTCAATTCATTTTGAGCATAGTTCTACTACTACTCTATATTTTGCAATATAGATATGAAACTGGGAGAGGTTGTGATTAAGCATAGATCGTTTCCTGTTCCCGGTTGTGATAAGCTTACACGCACGTAGTTGAAACGGGTTTCTTTTTTAGGTAAGTAGGCTTATGTGAAAGCTTTTAGCAATGGCTTCAATTCTGAAACGTCGACTTACCTCCTCATCGATATCAAATCTATTTTTGGATTATATTTTAAGGGGCGATTTGAATTTTAAAGGCTCTAACATTTTTGCTATACTCCATATAGGTTATACAAATAGAGGTAACTGGTAGGATTTGACTATCGGGGCTTGAGCAGCCTGTCTCTTCGATAATACAAGAAAGAAGAACCTACCGGTATTAGAAAGCCACTACTATCGGTATGCTTTTCTCAGTGGACGTAAATGTAATGACATCAGTTGAGTTTACACAGGCCATAAGCATCTTAGGCCCATAGAGACAGTAAAATGATGGGGTTCCTTACTTTAGAAGAGTAGACTTTAAAGCACAGAAGTATGTGTATTGTATTATATATACGAAAGTGATCGTATGAACACACAAAAGTTAATGGCCGCTTACCTAAGCCATAGATTTACAGATAATGCAAGTTGTTTCCTTGAGAAGAACAATTTTTTTATGACTTTTATTTTTGTCTTTCTAACGTTTTTTGAACGTCATTCTAACCTAGTTTACTTATTTCGACGCCTTTTATTCGCTAATGTTATTAATATCGTAACTGTCTTCGTACCGGCGGTAGGATCATAACATTTTTCAACGTCGATATGTTTTTCAATAAGCAGTAATAAAGCTCAATCTACCATCCATATATTATTATTTTGTGTGCAATTGACACGGACTATTAGAACTACTAGAGAACGACCTGAAGAAGTGTACGAACTATGAAGATGAAGATGACGGTAACCAGCTTTACGGTGAAGACGAGCGTATTTTAGGGCATCGAAAAGCGGCGGAGATGCAATGCCGAATATGGTAAAATCTTAACGTAGCGCTAAACAATGCTACGTTTCATTTTGCGTATTATATTAACGGGTGGTGGGGGGGAGGGGGGGGGGGGGGTAACCAAGTGTCACGGATAACAGGCTAGCCCGAAAGTTGCCTATGTTACATGGTTAAATTAGGAGCACGTGGTAAG